TTTGAAACTTGAACTAAAGTCGTAAATTGTTATAAGGTTTTCAACTTTAACAGCTTTGTGATAAAGCAAATAATCGATTTAAGCAATTTTGCTTTTGCTAGGTTGAGCAGATATCAGCCTATAAGTGCGAAAAGTCCTCTTCTCACACGGAGAAGGTTTGAGCATTAACCACCACGCTTGCTCAACGTGTGTCAATTAGAATTGACAAGTCCAGGTTTCCTCACGATGTTTTCCTTCACCGTATGTCAGTGGTGTCTAAATACAAAAGTACCTATGTATATACATATATATAACTCGGAAAAAGTCACATTGGTACTTGCCAGGTTACGTAGGTACCTACATATATCATTATAACATTATACATATTATACCTAGGTAACATTATATATTTTCGTGCAATTAAGGAAAATAAACCAGATATTACTTGACAGTTGGTCACCTAGTATGATCATTTTGGTCGAATCAAAGAGTCAAGATACATACCTACATACTTTTAACCTTATGTACATATTGATAACAATGTTTTGAAAATGTGTTACTATGTGTTATAAAAACAAACAAAGGAAGGAGAAATAATGATTTACTTTTTTTTTGTTTTTTTCTTTTTTTTATGAGGGGAAATCATGCAATGATTTCTCCCGCCCAGGGTAAGGCGAGAGAGTGTGTCACAGACTCTTACTTACTAAAACACCCCGTTCCTTCTCCTGTTCTGGGCCGAGGCCGCGGTGCCTTAAAGTAATCATTTACCTACGTGTATTTTCTTTATGGGATAAGTCGGCAAAGTAACAGACGGATTACCTGATGGTAAGCAATCAGCGTTGCCCATGGACACTCGCAATAAAGGAGGAGTTACGAGTGCGCTGCTGCACTTTTGGGGATTAGGGATTTGGAGATTTGACATTGGGGTAGGGGAAAGATTGGGCCTCCGGTAACCTCATTCACACGGTGAACAAAACGCTGTAGTTTCACGCCGGTTTTTTGTGAGGCCGTGGTATCACTCCGGCCGGTCGAGCTGGACCCATTCGTGCCGACTGCCGAAGCTCTCTCTCTAGTAAAATATTAGGTACCCATTTGATGTTCGAAGAAACGGGGGAGTTTTTAGTCAGGAAGACTCTGACACTCCCTCCCGCCGGACCCTTGGCGGGAGGAGAAGTCATTTGATGATTTTCCCCTCACAAAAAAGTACCTATATAGTAAAACCAATGAATGACTTTTTTGTGCATTGGAAATTGCAATATTATTTTATTTTTGCCTTGGTATTGTATTAATTTCAATATTATAACTTTTTTTTTATGTAAATGGTCGGCAAACGAGCAGACGGATTACCTGATGGTAAGCAATCAGCGCCGCCCATGGACACCCGTAACGGAGGAGATACGAGTGCGTTGCCGACCTTTTAGGGATAAGGGATTTGGAGATTTAGGAACTGGGGAGGGATTGGGAAGGGGAAGGATTGGGCCTCCGGTAACTCACTGACACGGCGAAACACAACACTGTGGGTTGTTTCACGCCGGTTTTCTGTGAGGCCGTGGTATCAATCCGGTCGAGCCGAAGCATGGCTCTCCCACACTTATAACTAACTCTAGATATGGACTGGTTTCAGAAATAAATAAATTTATTATTATTATTATAGGTATCTCGTATTATCAATTGTGTTAGAGCAACCATTATTATACTTTATTTATACATGGAAATAAAATCAATCGATTGTCGACTGACCTCCCAGTAACCCAATTAATAACAACACCAATAAAGATATCAATAAATATAACTGTTTTTTTTTTTATTTAAATATACATAAATACAAGTTTTTTTATGCCAAGACTGTTGCGACCTAAAAACCTAGTGTTGAGGTTCGAACGAAACTAGAATATTAAAAAAAAATGTTGATTTTTAAAAGTAAAGTAGGTATTTTTTGGATTGCTTTCTAAAAACCTTTTTCTTATGTAGGTAATAGGTCGGTAAACGAGCAGACGGATTACCTGATGGTAAGCAATCAGCGCCGCTCATGGAGACCCGCAACAGAGGAGTTACGAGTGCGTTGCCGACCTTTTAGGGATTAGGGATTTGGAGATTTAGGGATTGGGGAAGGGGAAGGATTGGGCCTCCGGTAACCTCACTCACACGGCGAAACACAACGCAGTGGTTATTTCACGCCGGTTTTCTGTGAGGCCGTGGTATCACTCCGGTCGAGCCGACCCATTCGTGCCGAAGCATGGCTCTCCCAGACTTAAAGTTACGAGAGCTTTGCCGAATTTTTGGGGATTAGGTTTAGGGGAGGGGAAGGATTCGGCCTCTCTGGTCACAACCCCAGCTAAGGCTACTTTTTATCCCGGCAGAAGCTAGTTTCAAAATAAAACCGCACAAATTTTTCTAGGTACACTTGCTACTTCTATTATCTAGATTCTAGGATTATTAGTCATTTAGTAATTACTTAGTGCCTAGACCTCTAGACCTCTTGAACTGTACCTAATTGCGAGCTAGACTGAGATCAGCTCGACCCTAATCATGCTTATTCATGATACCGAGTTATCCATAACTTTATTTATTTTAAGACGTGACTACACATTATAATTCAGAATTGTCTGTGCCTTGAATGCGTTTACAAACATCTAATTTCATATACACATCACATCCAAACACGGAACAACATTTTTTTTTGTTTTTTAAAAAACGGTGCCCCACATTAGTAGTTTCTCCTGTGTCGTGGGTGCGGTTACAAACATACAATTTTATATACAAATGACACCCAGACCCAGAACAACAATTTGTAAATCACACAAAGAGTTGTTCCGGGAATCTAACCCGCGACACGTTGCACGGCAGTCAATTGCCCAGCCACCGCACCAACCGTGCAGTCAAATTTGTAGATCACATATGTATATCACTACATAGTATAAAACAAAGTCGCTTTCTCTGTCCCTATATCCCTATGTATGCTTAAATCTTTAAAACTACTCAACGGATTTTGATGCGGTTATATTTAAAGATAGAGTGATTGAAGAGGAACGTTTGTGTGTATAATAACACCAATTAAATAGTGGAGAGTATAATCGTTGCACTCGTGCGAAGCCGGGGCGGGTCGCTAGTGTAGATTAATTGGTGATTTTTTGTAGAGTACCTAGGTACTTTTGCTTAACGACTGCATCAACCATCCAGTCGAGGTATAAATATACATCGCCTTCAAGTCGCTTTGCCCTTAAAAAAATCACTAATAATACTATTCAACCTGCTTCATTAATTAATAATCAGTCTATAAGTGCCCACTGCTGAGCCTCTTTATAAGAACCTCTTCTCACACGGAGAAGGTTAAAGCATTAATCACCACGCTTGCTCAAAGTGGATTGGCGATTTCTAACTTATAATACGAATTTATAAGTTCAGATTACCTCACTATGTTTTCCTTCACTGTTTGTAGGTGTCAAAATAATTATACTTGCCTGAACCCGTACCCTCATGCCTAAAAAGCGGGCGCCCTAACCTTCGGGCCACGACGACAATACGGTAGTTTCCAACTAGTCAAATTGAATACTTTTATCCAAATGTCAAAAACGATACTTTTCTATGAAATTTGTACGAATACTGAGTTATGACGTCACAACATTTTTGCGTCAAATAGCTTACTTATTTCTTAATAATTCGCTACAAAATATCTAAAACTTAGTGTATCGATCGATCGATGAATAAAAGTATAGTTATTTTACAATATTTTATTGTATTGAAACGTCGAATTAATTTATTTTTGACCTAGGAAACTAGCCAATTAATAAGAAGTACGCGTCTCATCAATTTATTTGGATAATAAAAAAAATCTCTTCAACAAACATCATTGAGTAATTATAAAATCATTGCACTAACTTCCTACTCAGCGAATAGCATAGAAAAAACAGTAAAAAGAATTGCTTTAGTTACGGCAGAGATTATTGCGATATACTTAGGAACTTCGAAACTATCAATCGATAATTTTCTCAATGTACACAACATTAGTTTTACCCCAAAAGAGGTAGGCATAGGCCAATTACGTACCTACCTATATTTTACATTTTGCAAGATATAGATAATTAGGTTTCGCCCGCGGCTTCGCACGCGTAAAAAAAATGTATCTCGGGATTTTAAAAACAGCACCTTTTTAAGCTATATCTCAACTAAAATACACAAATCAGTTATATAATTTATAGCCTATGGCACTAAGGAACTTTGTAGCTATCTATCAGTGAAAGAATTTTGGCGATCCGACCAGCGGTTCCAAAGATTACCCTCTACATACAAACTTACAAATTTTACCTCTTTGTAATATTAGTATAGAATATCTTGTGTGCACTTAAAGATAATATAGACACAGTTATTATTTTTTTTGTATAAATTTAACTTCCATTAATTTTACCGATAGAAAAATATATGTATAGGTACCATCAGGTACGTGTATGTCGTAATGTTTATACCAAAGCACCTACTTTGCATTATGAGTATTATACATAAGTACTTCAAATATTGAAAAATATTAACTTGTGTTTTCTATTTCTACCTAACATTAAATTATGATATTAAAAACGGAACACTTATGTACAGATCGCCTGGTATTAAATAAAGAATTTTAGGTCAGTGGGTAGCCTTAGGGACGGATTTGTTTAAATTCAAGAAAAAAAGAACAGAAGTCATTACTTACTATTGAAAATATCTTTGTATACCTAATTAATATTCAGTCAAATTTTAATATAACTTAACTCTCAAATTACTGCACCTTAGTATAAAACAATTTATTTATTAAATCGCGTTTGTTATTGTCAAGACAAGACATGAAGAAAAAAAAAAGTATGAAAAAAAAACACCCAAAAATCAGGGTTGGTACCTACCTATAGCCACCCACCCAATAAAAAAAAAAATCACAATCAGAAAACACACATTCAAATAAAAAAAAAACTCACATCGACACAATAATTACATGTACACATCAAAAACTTTAACAATGGTGTTGCAAAAGTAAAAAAATACGGACTTACCTCTCGTTAAAAACTTGTTCAACCTTGAATTATTAAACTGACAGCACAGACGAGCGCACAGACTATACTCGGCCGACGACTGGCCGACGGCGAGAGAAAAAAACTGCAACTAAACTTGTATCCCCCCCTCTGTGTTATAAGGCTGCGTGCGTACTGACGATTAGTCGCTGCGACTGAGTCGCGGGTCAAATATAGGATCTGCTTCGGTAGTCGATTGGTTGCAAGTTTTTTTTTTAATGTAATTGGTCGGCAAACGAGCAGACGGATTACCTGATGGTAAGCAATCAGTGCCGCCCATGGACACCCGCAACGGAGGAGTTACGAGTGCGTTGCCGACCTTTTAGGGATTAGGGATTTGGAGATTTAGGGATTGAGGAGGGATTGGGGGCGGGGAAGGATTGGGCCTCCGGTAACCTCACTCACACGGCGAAACACAACGCTGTGGTTATTTCACGCCGGTTTTCTGTGAGGCCGTGGTACCACTCCGGTCGAGCCGACCCATTCGTGCCGAAGCATGGCTCTCCCACACTTTATACTCCCCACGCAAGTATGTCGAAGTAAGTGTGTATCGATGGTTCTTGGGTTGGACTATAGATATGGTAGAATGACTGCTCGTGGGAAATTTCTCTGCAACATAGTCTAAAAATCGTTTCCCGTGTAAGGTTAAAGTAACTGGTGAGACGCGCATTTTATGTGCTATGTATACATAAGTAGTTATATCTCATACCTCTTGCCTCTGGCTCTTCGAGGAATAAAGGCTATTTCAGTAACTTGCTCAATTTTACTTCTGGTTAACAAATCAGATAAGCGATAAGTGAATACAGAAAGTTGTACCTACATAGCAACACCCATGGACACGCGCAAAACCAGAGAAGTTGCGAGTGCGTTGCTGGTTTTTTGGGGATTAGGGTTTTGGAGAACAGCATCGCTTCTGTTGTGGTTGCTTCACGCTGATTGTCTGTGAGGCCGTTGTAGTACTCCGGTGAAGCCAACCCATTCGTGCCGATGCATGGCTCTCCCACACTAAAGATTACAGTTATTACCGTAAAAATATTATATAAAAAATTGACACATGCGTCAGTTAGGATATTTTTCGTATATATACGACTAGGTTTTACCTGCGACTTTATTGGCGTGTAATAGTGACTTTGTGTAGATTTTTGGTTTAAAAACTTCCTTCCTATGTCCTTAAACTATGTGCGTGTGTGTGTGTGTGTGTGTATATGTGAAGACAGACACACAGACAGACAGAGTTACTTTCGCATTTATAATATTAGTTTGGATTTGAATTATACAGACTGCCTGATGGTATGCAAAACTGATTTTTGTATAGTAACATTTTACAAAGATAAATCGTGAGAAATATAAAATTTATCATTCAAAATAACGAATTACTAACGGGTAATAACTGTAAAAACCCCTCTACTAAATTGTTTAAAGTTAAAACGGGAATATTAATCATGACGCGTGCGCGTCGCGGCAACATCGCTAAGCCTTCAAACAGACCTTACAGAATTCGTTTAAATATTTTAATACTAAAAATCTTGTACTCATTAAGGTTCTTGCAACAAAAAGTCGTCCGTCTGCATCCCACCTTATATTCTCAACAAGTATAACCCGATCAAATTGCGAATACCATCGTTTTACCTATTTCTTATTGTTCGCACATCTTTCTAACTTAGCAGGATTATACGGTACGATTATCAAAGTGATTGTTGTTGGCAAGATTTTTTTTTTGTTTCGTGTTAATTATTGTTGAAGTACCTCTTTGTTGTAGTAGTAAGGGTTTCAAATTTATCAGCCTATAAGTGCCCACTGCTGAGCAAAGGCCTCTTCTCACACGGACAAGGTTTGAGCATTAACCACCACGCTTGCTCAAGGCGGATTGGCGATTTCAAACTTATAATTTTTAGAAATTATAAGTCAAGGTTTCCTCACGATGTTTCCTTCACCGTATGTCAGTGGTGTCTAAATAATTATAGAAAGTAACATATCATTTGGAAAAAGTCACATTGGTTCTTGCTTGCAGTGACACTTCCTGTCGCTCTACTCTGGGCGGGAGAAGTCATTTAATTATATTCCCCTAACAAAAAAAGCCTTTTTGCTGAACATTTGATCGAAATGTGGGAGAGCCATGCTTCGGCACGAATGGGTCGGCTCGACCGGAGTGATACCACGGCCTCACAGAAAACCGGCGTGAAACAACCACAGCGTTGTGTTTCGCCGTGTGAGTGAGGTTACCGGAAGCCCAATCTTTCCCCTCCCCCAATCCCTCCTCAATCCCTAAATCTTCAAATCCCTAATCCCTAAAAGATCGGCAACGCACTCGTAACTCCTCCGTTGCGGGTGTCCATGGGCGACGCTGGTTGCTTACCATCAGGTAATCCGTCTGTTCGTTTGCCGACCTCTTACATAAAAAAAAATGTCTATTTCTTTAGACTCCGGAACTACTGGTTGAATTGGACAGTACTTTTTGTGTTAGATAGTCACTTTATTGAGGAAGACTATAGGATATTATACATCACGTTAAGACCAAAAGGAGCCGAGCAGCGGATGAAAACATACGGGAGTAGCTAGTGTATGTAATGTACATAATATATGTATAGTTAAACTTAAAGTTTCAACTTATTTGATTGCAAACTGCGCAGGAAATTACGATATGAATCATTACCAACCTCGTAATTGCATAATAATGCCATCTTGTGTCTTTGATTACGTTACGAGTGACTATGGTAAACGTGGTAGGTCGTAGGGAAACGTGTTCTAGAGCGGAGACCACGTCTAGGCAAACGTAGTGTAGGGGGCCCTCCATTTAGGTGGACTGACGACATCCACAGGGTGGCTGGCAGTGGTTGGTTGAGAAGAGCTGAATATCGAGCTCAGTGGCGTGTAATTGAGGAGGCCTATTACCAACAGTGGACGACATCAGGCTGATGATTATAAAGGTTAGATGTTTTATGTACTTAATCTCTGAGGCTGTGTTATAAGACCAATCGAGCCGACATATTCGGTCCGAACCATGGCTCTCCCACACAACGGTTTGGTGAGGCGAGGTGAAGGAATTAGCGATCCCGTGGGCTACCATAATCCCGATTGCTCCAGAGAGAAGTCACCGTTCCTTATTTCCAGCTTGCCTTTATTGGCTGGTCGGAGTGAACGATGACGAGGAGCAGGTCTACCACCTCTGGCTTACCTTCGTTGGCTGTCCAGAGTGGAGTCGCGAGAGTAGTGATCTTACTCGGAGGGTGGAAGCTGTTCGTAAGCGGCGAGTGGGCCAGTGATGCAGGATGCTTAGGCAGATGCAGATGATCTGAGTAGAAAGCTGGTGGCAGTTTCTTCACCCTTCAGCCACTTATATGTAGTTCCATTATCCCGCTGTTAGTCTTTGTTAGTGAGTCGGTGAGTTGGCGAGTCTCAACTGCCATTTTTTCATGAATAAATTAAATTGTTTCGGCAGGTGCCGATATAGTCCTTCCCATAGTTCCTATCACACCAGTCCATAACAACTCATACCACAGCCTTATCCCTTGTTTCCATTATCCACAATAGTCCTACACTAACAGGGACTGTCTTTGGTTGTATTTCCATCGTGATTTTCATAGTGCATACAGCGAATAAGGGTAGCTCACCGCCCGACCCGAATTAGACCCGAGCGTACGGCGCGTAGCGTTCCGCGCGCGCCTCAAAGAGCCAGTAGACCACCACAGACGGGGCCCTATAGGGCTGATGTTCAGCCGGGGTTGCGGGGTCGGCAATAAGGCAGCGCGGCCTCGGCCCAGAGCAGAAGAATGAACGGAGGGAGTCAAAGAGTCTGACACTCCCTCTGACTCCACCCTGGGAAGAACAAGTAATAATTTTTGTTTTGTGATGCATTGACATACGAGCAGACTGGATTACCTGATGGTACGTAGCGCCGCCCATAGACACCCGCAACGACAGAGGAGTTACTACTAATGCGTTGCCGACCTTTTGGGGATTAGGGATTTTGAGATTTAGGGATTGGGGGAGAGGAAGGATTGGACCTTCAATCACACGGCGAAATATAACGCTGTGGTTGTGTCACGCCGGTTTTCTATGAGGCCGTGGTATCAATCGGGTCGAGCCGACCCGTTCGTGCAGAAGCATGGCTCTCCCATACATTTGATGATTTCCTATATATAGAAAAATATAAGGATTTAAATAAAAAAAAATGTATATACTTAGATAGGTATAGATATTGTAGAAGTTGTGTAGAAAGTTATTGTAAATATATGTTATGTTTTGTTAAATAGCAGTTTTAATTTGAACTTTGAACATGAAAACAGTATTAATTTACACCACACACACACACACCTACTAATACACTATCAATCAGCACTTTTTCATTTTGTTATATGATATCTAGGTACCTACTAGTATTATGCTTAGTTAGTTACACACTTAGAATGCCTAGAATTCTGGCTAAGCTGAAATATAATTATGCCATGGTATGCTTATAAATCATCAACGACGGATATTTCGAAAATTTTTTTTAAATTTTTTTATGCCAAATCGGCGAACGTATTGCCTAATGGTACCTAAGCAATCAAAATGTCGTGGTGGCCCGGAGGTTAAGGAGCCCGCTTCTTGTGTATGAGGGTGTGGGTTCGAAACCTGGCAAGTACCAATGTGACTTTTTCCGAGTTATATGTATTTTCTATGATTATTTAGACACCACTGACATACGGTGAAGGTAAACATCGTGAGGAAACCTGGACTTATAATTTCTAATTATAAGTTTGAAATTGCCAACCCGCATTGAGCAAGCGTGGCGATTAATGCGCTAACCTTCTCCGTGTGAGAAGAGGCCTTTGCTCAGCAGTGGGCACTTATAGGCTGATGATGATGATGACCTAAGCAATCAGTGCCGCTTATGGACAATCGTCACACTGTAAGAGTAACTCCTTGCGTGTGTGCCTGGATGCGTTGCCAGCCTTCTGGGGATTAACGATTCGGATATTTAAGGGTTGGGGAGTGTTAGGGAAGGGAAGGATTGGGCTTCCAGTAACCTTATTCACACGTAAAAAGTAGCCTTTATGTTATTCCAGACTATAATCTATCTGTGTGCCAAATTACATTCAGATCCGTTCAGTAGTGTTTACGTGAGAGAGTAACAAACATCCATCCGTACTTACACTCTTTCGCGTTTATAATACCAATAGAATAGATTGGACACCCATCTTCAAACCGGCCCCGTTAACAGTAGCTTAACCTCAATCTAATCTCTCAAACTCCTCGCAATAATTATAAGAATAAATAGAAATAAAGTAAATGCAAATAACGGAAACTATCACTGACAGTTATAACTTACAATAACGGTATTAAAACGAATTTTCATAAATAACCGTTATTTTTATCAATTAGTTATTCAAACAGTTATGATTTTTATCCGTTTCTAGATTTTCGTCCACTGTAACCTAATCTACATTATTTAGTTAAGTCTAGACTACCATTACTTATACCTTTTAAGTGTGGGAGAGTCATGCTTCGGCACGAATGGGTCGCCTCGACCGGAGTGATACCACGGCCTCACAGAAAACCGACGTGAAATAACCCACAGTGTTGTGTTTCGCCGTGTGAGTGAGGTTACCGGAGGCACAATCCCTTCCCGATCCTTATATCCTCAACTCCTATCCACAAAATTTTGCACAAATTTTGATAACTCACCAACACACTACTGATATACCTAATTTCTTTCTGTTTTTTATGTTTTTTTTTATATCCGTTTGAGTGATTTCCCAATTTCATAAAAAACGTCGAGTGCTCACGGTGCAAAAAAAAATTGACGGTTTGCTAATTGCTTATGATAATGTAATATTTTAGTTGTTATTTATATAATTGGTTTTATTTTTATTTTATAAATATTATTTATATTTTTTCTTTTTCCTCTCTCTTACTTTAGAAATATCCATGATTTGTATAATTTTTTGAGATTAATGTTGCTTCAGTCCGTACGTCACAAGGTACGTTGCAAGGGTGTCAACTGAAAACCAGTGTTGGTTTCTTATTGAGCCTAACTTATACTGAGATGGCAACCCTTTTGGCATGCTGTTTTCTTGTTATATTCAAATTTTTTGTTGTTTAAGCACTTTTTTTTAATATTATTTTAGTTCCTAAGCTAACATTGTTGTATTAGTTTGTTGTATACCTTTTTTATTGTAATTATTGTACATATCTTTGTTTTTATTTCCTAATTGTTCATGCCAAATAAATAATTTTTCTTTCTTTCTTTCTTTTAAAAGGCCGGCACCGAACTCTTAACTCCTTTGGTGTTGCGGGTGTACATGGGCGGCGCCGATTGCTTACCATCAGGTAATCGGTCTGCTCGTTCGCCGACTTATATAATAAAAAAAAACTGGGCGGGAAAAGTCATTTGATGATTTTAGTTTGATCATCAAACAAAAAAAAGGGATGAGTCTGGTAAATAGCTATAATGTGTTGAAATAAGAGTGGTCCTATACAAAAAATAAAAAACAAAGACTTTATCAGGCAACATTATTTATTTTTATTCGCTGTGTGTTTTCATTACTGAGTAGTTCCAATAGCTCAGTGGTTGTAAGTAACTGCACGCTGGCTGTGACGTCACAGCTTCGGTATACTTCATACCGTGCCGGGTTGGACAGGGCAGCCTTGCCGATTACTACTATGTAAGGGTAGCCCATTCTGTGGAAAAAAGAAAAAAAAATGTTAACATTTTTGTCTTTTTTTGTGTTTTTAAAGTCAAAATATTTATTATTAGCTACTTTTGTGCGGTTTCACTCACAGCTGGGCTCCATTTAATCATAGCGTGATGTTTTATAGCCTATAGCACTCAGGAACATTGTAGCTATCTATCAGTGAAAGAATTTTAGTCATCCGACCAGCGGTTCCAAAGATTACCCCTTACATACAAACTCACAAACTTAAAATTTTTACCTCTTTATATCTATACTAATATTATAAAGAGGTAGCTGGTCGGATTTTCAAAATTCTTTCACTGATTGGTAGCTACAATGTTCCTGAGTGCTATAGGCTATGAAATATCACAGTATGATCAAATGGAGCCGAGCAGCGGGTGAAACTGCGCGAGAGTAGCTAGTTTATAATATTAGTAAGTATAGAAGTATAGATTTTATTAGAAAATGTGGTATTGTATTGTTTATTTCACAGTTTATTTGCTTTATTAAAAGCGTAGCCGAGTCGTATTTTTCCAAAAATTTATATGCTACACTTTCATTACCACTACGGTTTTCACAATGATATCTTGGATGCCGTATGCCGCCTATAGTATCTTGTACATTTTGCGTTGAAAGAAATAAAGAAAGAAAAACATTTATTTTGGCGCAAGCGCACACACATAAAACAAAAATACAAAAAAAGAATAAAATAAAATAAAACAAAAAATCAAAACTAAATGATACATATAAACAATAAATGACTTAAAAAATTAATAACAAAAGAACAAAAAAACAAAAACTTTTGTCTATGGTCCACAGAGTATAACATTGTGAGTGATGTCGCGTAGTCTCGAGTATTTTTTATTATCTGTGGACCATAAGGACAAGGAAGTAGCATTTGTGTTTGTAACAAACAATGTAAAAACAAGAAACATATTATATTAATTTATTTAAGTTGATAATTTCGTCCTTACTACCGTTATAACAATATAATGTGTTACGAGCGCAAAAATTGACATGCTCAGCATTTGCTGAGACCCCAACCACAAGGGATTGGTGCCACAGCGCTGATTTTCAGCATATCGTTAAACACGCCGTCAACTCCTGCACGTCATGCACGTGTGAATCCTGATGTACTGTTGATTGCTTACCATCAGGTAATCCGTCTGTTCATTTGCATGCTATGAAAAGTAGCTATCTATATAATATATGTACCTGTCAGCCATCATAAGTCGCTTCCCGATGGTGAGTTGATGTCTGTCATCGACTATAACGTCCCCGGGTCTGGCAGGCTCAAGGGTCTGGTACAGCTCGGATATGGTTGCGATGCCGTGTGTCTGCCATTCGCGGGAACCTTCCTGTGATGAAATATAATAATATTTGTGTAAACCACCGCTTCTTATGTACGAGTTCCAGATTTGGCAATTACCAATGTGACTTTTTCTAAATTGCATGTACTTGCTAAGTGTATTTAACACTAACATTCAAGTAAATTAAGTGTGGGAGAGCCATGGTTCCGCACGAATGGGTCGGCTCGACCGGAGTGATACCACGGCCTCACAGAAAACCGGCGTGAAATAACCACAGAGTTTTGCCTTGTGAGTGAGGTTACCGGAGGCCCAATCCTTCCCCAATTAAAAAATCTCCTAATCCCTTATCCCCAAAAGGTCGGTGACGCCCTCGTAACTTCCCCGTTGTTGCGTGTATCCATGGGCGACGCTGATTGCTTACCATCACGTAATCCGTCTGTTACTTTGCCGACTTATCACATAAAAAATAGTCATTAATATATTTTTTTGTTAAGGGAAGATCATCACATGTCTTCTCTCGCACAAAGTATGGCGAGAGAGAGAGAGTGTCAGACTATTACTGACTAACCCCCCCCGCCCTGTTCCTTCTCCTGCTCTGGGCCGAGGCTGCGGTGCCTCATTGCGCTTACCCCGCAACCCCGGCTGAACACCAGCCCTATAGGGCCCCGTCTGTGTTTGCGAAGAAACGTGGACTTGTAATTTCAATTCTTTGAAATCGCCAATCTGCCTTGAGCAAGGGTGGTGACTATTGCTTAAAGCTTTTGGTCAGCAGTGGGCACTGATAGGCTGATGATGATGTATACCTTGGGTCCAATGATGCAGACACTGTATGGCGCGATGGTGTCTGGCCAGCGCAGACACTTGTCGCTGGACAGCGCCTCTATACTCGCTGCTAGTAATCTGCCAACATTCAACAAAGATAAAAGGTAAATAACACAATCAAGTAGTTTGCTAGGTCAAAAATATTTCGACGTTTCAATACACTAAAATATTGAAAAATAACTATAATTTCATTCATCGATCTGTAGTTACATAGAAATTACAATATTATTAAGAAATAAGTAAGCTGTTTGACGCAAAAATACTATGACGTCATAACTCAGTGTTTCATACAAATTCCATAGTGAAGTATCGTTTTTGACATTTGGATACAAGTATTGATTGTGACTAGTTGGAAACTACCGTACTGTATTAAAGCCGGCTGTACATAAGGGGCAAGGTATTGGCCCAACGTGTAGAGGGCTACTCGCCAAGATCCTTTGATGTGTGGACAAAAAACCGTCAACATTCGGTTTGCTCGCCAATATTGGCGCAAACCGGGCAATGTGTACTGCGGGCTTATTAAGGCGTATTCTAACAGTCAACCACATGGTAGTGCCGAGAAATCAAGTGGTTTTATTTTATTTTATTTTTTGTGAGGGGAAAATCATCAAATGACTTCTCCCGGGCGAGAGGGAGTGTCAGACTCTTACTGACTAAAAACCCCCCCGTTCCTTCTCCTGCTCTGTGCCGAGGTCGCGGTACCTCATTGCGCTTACTCCACAACCCCGGCTGAACATCAGCCCTATAGGGCCCCGTCTGTGGTGGTCTATTAGGTCTTTGAGGCGCGCGCGGAACGCTACGCGCCGTACGCTCGAGAAATCAAGTGGTTGGTGGGAATTAAGGGCACAGTCTCCCAGGACAAAAATAAGAGGAGAAGAAATACAACACAATTTAATTCGCACTTTTGAGATGAATAATAGTTAATTAAGTACTAATGAGTATAGAAATAAAGTTTCTTTGGAAAAGTTGTTTGTTATCATGTGGTATAATCACGTCTTTTACCCCCGGTTTCCGAAAGTTAATGAAAGTTAATCAATTTAATCTATTGTCAAGTCATCTGATTGGTTGACTGAATGATCAACAACCAGTCAGATGACTTGACAAGAGATTTAACAGGAGATTAGTTAATTTTAGCTTTGACAAGCCTTTCAGAAACCGGGTGTTAAATCAGTCACTAATTACCATTCATCCTATTAAGACCGGATAAACCAATTTATTACAAGTGTTTATATAATTTATGTACCTATACACGTTAAGTCTGCATAACAATTAATGCTAAGCTGTATGACGTCAAAAGTCAAAAAGTCAAAAGTCAAAATAATTTATTTCAATTAGACCCATACAGGCACTTTTGAACGTCAACACAACTTTAAAGATACAAAGTGTCAGTCTGTCGGTCAGTCCTCTTAGTGAAGCTATTCGCTCGTTCCAAAGTGTAGATTCCGATGGAGAAGAATGAGCAAGAAACTCCATGGTTACTCTTTTAAAATCAGTGTCACATAAACATTCTTTGATACATTATTTAGTTAGTTTGAATATGTGACAACAGTGTAACGCGTGTATACAGAGAAACATAAAAAGAAAATAACCTTAAGGACAAAAGACAGTCCGTCACTCTAACACCCGGTTTCTGAAAGGCTCGTCAACGCTAACATTAACTAATCTCCTGTTAAATCCTTTGTCAAGTCATCTGATTGGTTGTTGATAATTCAGTCAACCAATCAGATGACTTGACAAGAGATTAAATTGATTTTAACATTGATCGGCCTTTCGGAAACCGGGGGTAAATCTATAAAAATATCACAATATCACATACACTTCACACCCAGACCCGGAATAACAATTTGTGTGAATCACACAAAGAGTTGTTCCGTGCGTGAATCGAATCCAAGACACGTTGTGCGACAACCGCGCTAACTGTGCAACCAATTATCTATGTATTAGATACTAGCTAATCCCGCGCGGTTTCACTCGCTGCTCGGCTCTATTTGATAGTAGCGTGATGTTATATAGCCTATAGCACTCAGAAACATTGTAGCTATCTATCAGTGAAAGAGTTTTGGCGATCCGACCAGCGGTTCCAAAGATTACCCCTACATACAAACTTACAAATTTTACCTCTTTATAATATTAGTATAGAAGTATAAGGTACGACCTACCTTGTAATACCTATACCATAACAGGACATGTATAGTGGCGCAGGTGGCCCGCTAGATGGCGTGCAGAGCGCGGAGAGAGCGGCGCTGTACTTACTGCCCAACAGGAACGTGTGCCCCACCTGTAATGAAAGGGGGAGATCATCATCATCATCATCATCATAACAGCTATAACACGTCAAGTCAATGAAACAATGAAACAATGAATTTATTTTTGCAAATAGGCCATAAAACGGCACTTTTACACGTCAATTTATATGTGAAAAACTAGATGAAGCCGGCATTTCCTATCTGACTACTCGGAGAAGAAATGCCGAAACAAACTCAGAGGTCAGTCTCATCATAACAGTTACAACACGTCAAGTCATCTGCCTTAATGACTGTCTTGATCAATTGCAAGTTTATGACGTCTACTTCATACAATCACAGCACATCATCAACCTATAAGTGCCCACTGCTGAGCAAAGGCCTCTTCTCACATGTTCGCCATGTGAGAAGAGGCCTTTGCAGGTTTGAGCATTAACCGTCACGCTTGCTCAAGGCCGATTGGAGATTTCAGACTTCTAAAAGTCCAGATTTCCTCACGATGTTTTCCTTAACCGTATGTCAGCGGTGTTTTGTCATCATACAAATTACAAAAAAAAACCAAGAAAAGCATCAATTTTTTAAGTGTGGGAGAGCCATGCTTTAGCACGAATGGGCCGGCTCGACCGGTGTGATACCACGGCCTCACAGAAAACCGGCGTGAAACAACCACAGCGTTGTGTTTCGCTGTGTGAGTGAGGTTACCGGAGGCCCAATCCTTCCCCTCCCCCAATCCCTAAATCTCCAAATCCCCAAAAGGTCGGCAACGCACTCGTAACTCCTCCGTTGCGAGTGTCTATGGGCGGCGCTGATTGCTTGCCATCAGGTAATCCTCGTCTGCCGACCTATTACATAATAAAAAAAAATCTAATCTTCTAACACACTACGTTCTTGCAGTGGCAATCACAACTGTTTTAACAGCTTGTCACAGGTGCTGTACTCGTTACATTATTGCTACTTCTGCAACAGTTATGACGTCACGAACCGTCAACTGACAAACGCTCTTTTTGTTTTCTCAACATCATGGCGCGCAACTCGCGTCACTTCAGTAAAGACCTTTTAAACGCGCCAAATTACTGCTGAAAGACCTATTCCGACCAGCTCGTAATCGTCGTAATGGAGGACCATTGGCAACAGAGACAGCAGACCAAGGAACGTGCGCGTATTGTAGTTTGTTACTGCTGTGTTACATAAGGACATCGTCTATATAACCGTTCAGATCCTTGGAATGTCCCAAATGTGTGGTTTAGCTCAACGTTCCTAGGAGATTATCACGACTGCACATGTGTAACAGCCATTAGACAGTGTGAAAATTTTGTATGAAAACACCCGTTCGAAGCTGAGATGGGTCAATAGAAATCTATCCAAACTAATATTATACATTCGAAAGTAACTCTGTCTGTCTGTCTTTTCTTTACGTCTAAACTACTGAACTCCATAAAGGACATAGGATATTATTTATACGAAAAATCTGCAGGATATCACTGTTCCACGCGAACGGAGTCGCGGGCAAAAGCTAATATACTAACCTCGATACTCTGGACCTCTTTGGTTTCGCCCCCACACTTGTGACAAGGGCCTCCCTGTAAGGATGTGCCGGCGCATCCACTGCATATATAGACGCTGTCCTCCCCGGCGGGGGCCGGGAGTTGCCACTCGTGGGAGAGGGAGCCGCCCATGTCGCCGGAGGGCGCTTCCACTGTGGAGAGAAGACGATTATTAGGGGTTATAGGTATTGCATAAAAGAGGGTCTGTTATGTATTGAGCAAAGGGAGCATTAATCACCACGCTTGCTCAAGAACATTTGACGATTTCAAACTTATAATTTGAAATTATAAATCCAGGTATCCTCACGATTTCGTTTACTGTTTGTCAGTGGTGTCCAAATAATCATAGAAAGTATATATAGCTCGGAAAAAGTCACATTGGTACTTTTCTGGTTTTGCGCTACCACGACAATTTTTTTAGCTTTTTGTATTTAGAATCAAACGCCACGTAAGGTATGTTATTGTTACGTATATCTTCGACGAGGTAACTCGATCAGTTACAAACCATGCAGGGGCTCTTAGTTAGCTACTTATCCTCTAATTAACGACAATCCGACCGCTTATAGCCATTATATTAATAGAGATTTAAGGACAAGGGGGGATGAATCGCCGTGTGTATCAAAACACATGTGTTATTCCACGCCGGTTTACTGTAAGAGCGTGGTATCACTCCGGTCGAGGCTACTAATTCGAGCCGAAGCATAGCATAGTAAATAATTGATTTTTCTTAAAATAACTTTTCACAATTCTCACCTCTATGCACAGGTAATTGCAATGTCTTGAACATCGTGCTGTAAGCCTCAGTGACTGCGCAGTATACGTCGCGCGCGCATCGCTCGGACTCGTGCACGCCGTACGCATCCATCATGGAGAACTCCCGTGCACGGAGGAGCCCGTGCTTGGGGCGCGCCTCGTCCCGGTATTTATTACCGATCTGGAGATTATAGGAAACATATTAATTTTTATATGTGTGTTATGTTTGAAAAATAGCAATTTCGTGTTTCAGTGATGGTGTTTTTTTTTTTTTTTTTGTGAGGGGAAAATCATCAAATGACTTCTCCCGCCCAGGGCCGGGCAGGAGGGAGTGTCAGACTCTTACTGACTAAAAACCCCCCTGTTCCTTCTCCTGCTCTGTGCCGAGGTCGCGGTACCTCATTGCGCTTACCCCGCAACCCCGGCTGAACATCAGCCCTTTAGGGCCCCGTCTGTGGTGGTCTATTGGCTCTTTGAGGCGCGCGCGGAACGCTACGCGCCGTACGCTCGGGCCTGGTTCTGGTCGGGCGGCGAGCTGCCCTTACTCGCCGACCGCAGGCCCGTACTTACGGTGGCCGGAGATCGTCCCTCGATCCCCGACGCCCGTAGTGTCGCCAGTTGCGGCTGCTGGGGCGTGAGGAGGAGGATTGCTCCCTCACGCGGGCCGCCTCTCTCTTTGCGAGCATGACTGCTTCACAAAAGGAGGAGACGGCGTCCCAGTTCCTCTCACTCCGCACCATGGCCTCGACTAAGGCCGGGCGCGAGAGGTCGCCGCCGCCGATCACTTCCCTGAGGATACGGCGGTGCTCAGCCCAGGCAGGGCATACCGCTACCGTATGCTCCACCGTATCCTCTAGGTGGTCCTCACAATGACGACACTCGGGCGTTTCCTCCCGCTGAATCCGAAACAGGAACCTACCGAAGCTGCCGTGCCCGGTAAGCACCTGCGTCAGACGGAAGGTGAGGACGCCGTGGCGTCTCTCAAGCTCAGTGATGGTGTGTCTTGGATATTTTGCAGACAGATTACCTGATGGTAAGCAGCAAGTATCGACGCCCGTTATGGACACCCACAAAACGGAGTAACGAGTGCTTTGCCGTTCTTTTGGGGATTAGAGTATTGGAGATTTAAGGATTGAGGGAGGTGAAGGATGGGGCTTCAGGTAATATTACTCACACGTCGGAACACTTATTTGAACTTAGTTTTGGTGATGATATGCCTTGGACATTTTGCAGACGCGGGAGAGGCCTTTGTCCAGCAGTGGACGTTAACCGGCTGATGATAATGATGATGATTTTGCAGATGAATTGCTTGATGGTAAGCAAGAAGGATTGAGCCTACGGTAACCTCATTTACAAAGCGAAATTTACAACACTGGTCAAGGTCATTCATGCCGAAGCGTAGTTCTTCCACACTTGAAAAATACTCTAACGCATATAAGATATTCTAGATATGAAATAACTCCTGGCAGCGTAAGGGCAGAAGACACAAGATACACAAGACAGAGAGAGACAGAGACAAGACTCCAAATACATACCTGGTACAATAGTAATGGCAGTTGTTTGTATGATAGCGGACCCACATCTGCTAACAGGTCCGCTATCGCTTCTTCATGTGTCTGTAACACGAGGTTGGAAAATTTAATAAGAGGCAGATTTTGCAAGAAGGTATTATGTGTTTTATTTTTAAGAAATGATTTTTCTTTTATTTTTTATGTTCAAAATATATATTCTTATTTAATCTCTTAATTTTTTTTTATTTTTTTATTTTTTTATTAACGATTTACATTGTTTTAAACATTACAGCGTGTTAAAAATAGAAAATAAAACATGCAGAAACAACTACATTAAGAAAAGAAATACAATGTCAGCAAAATAATACAAAGACAGAAATAAATACAATATCTGGTTCATTGCAGGTAAAATGTCAAGTAAAAATGTCAGATAAAAATTTCGCTGTGGTCTTAGTAATGAGCATACCTAATAGAATTATATAATTTGGAATCATTAAAAGCTCATAATAGTCAATTAATAGACATATGGTGAAGGTAAACATCGTGAGGAAACCTAGACTTATAATTTTTAATTATAAGTTTGAAATCACCAACCTGCATTGAGCAAGCATGGTGATTAATGCTCCAACCTTCTCCGTGTGAGAAAAGGCCTTTGCTCAGCAGTGGACACTTATAGGCTGTTGATGTGATGTGAGTCAATTGATTATATTTATTTAATGCCATCCATACCAATCTATGCCACTTATATCTCACCGTCACCTAAAGGTTGGCAGTAAGACAATGCCTTAGGCATTATTAGGTTTTAATAATGAAATAGTAATCCTAGGTCTAGGTATTATCCTGTAGGTATGAGCACAAAAATGTTCCACAGTCTTGTTCAGCACAGGAAACAGAAACACTCTGAAGTTTATTATTTTCCATCCAAAAAAACAAAACATGTTCAACTCTTTACAGATTAAGATAACATGACAGCAAAACTTTATTTGCAGAAATGAAGGAATTGAAGTCCTTTTCAATAGCACATCCACTTACCGGTGCCAACAAATACTTCTTCCCATGTCTGTCTTCCATCTTAATCAACTCCGGACCTATTTCCTGCAGTCTACCAGTTTTATCCCATAATGAGGCAGAAGTGAGGGATGGTACCGCCATCCTTTGACCACCGGCTGCTTCTATGCATGTTCTGATCAGGGTCTCCAGCTTGTCCAGGGATCTCCGGGCTAGTGGTAGGATGGTGAAGAGACCAGGACCCGTCGGACGGATTAGGCCGCATTCTAGAAGCAGCTGGAATGAATATAGTAGTTGATTTATAGTAAGTTCACGTTAGATTTTGTATTCTTTTATTTCTCATTTCATTGAAGAGATACACAGAAATGTCATGTTTTATATATCTTTACTACTACTGTACTGTGATTTTTTACACAAACTTGCTAAAATTATGCAATAACAGCGATTTAAAAGGCAAAAGTTTTGAGCCTAAATATCTTTAAATAGCTTCAATATTTTATGTAATAAAATTAATATTCATAAGTAACATACTGTTAACAATAGCAAACATATTTTAATTAATCCGTATAGAGCATTAATTACATTTAAAACTGTACATATTGTCCACCAAAACAACAAAACTGATTTTCGTTCGTATTTCGACTTACCTTTTGACTTTTACAAGTGATTTCTGTGTTTTTAATCTTAGCATTCTTTGGTATAGTTATTACAGGCTGAAATAACTTCGATAAGTAGCGCATTCTGTTATAAATTATTAGTTTTTTTGTTGTTTATGTACCCTCGGTACACAATTTTTAGGTTACCGAAGTCAGCTGTGCTTTTAAATGTCAAAGTTGTCAAATTGACGTTGCGTTTAATTAGGTGCGGTGCGGTATGATTTAATGTTAATGAGATGAGATATTATTATTCTTTGTTTTTAAATAAATTATTGATTACAGAATGAGAGTTGATTATAATACAAATAAACTTATAATCTTATAAAAAAACACTCTTTAATTTGAGATAACTAATAAACTGAAATGGCAGTGGGCAAATCACATTTCATTTGGTCGAAGAACCGTTGGGGTGGACGTGTTCTAGAGCGAAGACCACGTCTAGGCAAACGTAGTGTAGGGCGCCCTCCAGCTAGGTGGACTGACGATAGTCACGGATATCGTCAGTCCTAGTGGTCACATCGAGCTCAGTGACATGCAATTGGAGAGGCCTGTACCAGCTACACTTTACATTATACTTTAGTGTGTTCGACATCCACACTAATGATGCAATACGTAAGTAATTAAATTATGATCAGCAAATTGTAAATATTATAAATTTAATAAAACTATCACGTGGATTGGTTGTCTGCTTATTTAACATCAACAAACAAACATGATTGTATTGATTTACAACCCATTGTAGGGATAAGCAATCGGCGACGCAAATGGACACCCGCAATAACGAAGGATTTAAGAGTGCGTTGCCGACTTTTTGAGGATTAGGGTTTAGGATATTTAGGGATTGGTGGAGAGGAAGTATCGGGCCCCTGGTATCCTCACTCGCACGGCGAAACACAACGCTGTAAGGTAGTTGTTTCACGCCGGTTTTCTGTTCCGTGGTATCACTCCGGTCGAGCCGACCTATACGTGCCGAAGCATGACTTTCCCAGAGTTTTGATGATGATGATGGTGAAATGGGGTGATCGACAAAATGGTTACCAATGGCGGCCTTGCCACAACTGCCATCTATACTAATATTATAAAGAGGTAACATTTGTAAGTTTGTATATAGGGGGTAATCTTTGGAACCGCTGGTCGGATTGCCAAAATTCTTTCACTGATAGATAGCTACAATGTTCCTGAGTGCTATAGGCTATAAAACATCACGCTACGATTAAATGGAGCCGAGCAGCGAGTGAAACCGCGCGAGAGTAGCTAGTGTATAATAGAGGCGAACCTATTGATGTGTTTATAAGAATAAAAAGCATTAGAAAAACTGTACTTGACTGCACGGTTGGTGCGGTGGCTGGGCGACTGGCTGCCGTGCAACGTGTCGCGGGTTCGATTCTCACACGGTACAACTCTTTGTGAGATCCACAAATTGTTGTTCCGGGTCTGGGTGTCAATTGTACCTATGTTTGTAACCGCACCCACGACACAGGAGAAAATCCTAATGTGGGGCAAAGTTAAAAAAAAAATATTTTTTCCAAATATACAGCACACAGAGCCACCAACCAAAACTAGTTTAAGACACAGTATAGCAACTGTAATTAGCATATTAGACCTCCTTGTTTGAGCCTATTCACCTAATTACGAAATCGGGGGGCAAACGCTAGCCCGTCAACATATACCAAACTAAAGAGTCTCATCAATAGAATTTCGACTTTATCTTTAAGAAATAGAGTTGGAATTCAGTTTGGCATCTAGGGTATAACTTAATGAGCTGTCACGAAGCTGTTAGCTAATTAAAAGCCAGCTAAAGGCAAAAGCGTGTCTTTCGGCAACTGTGTGCATTGTCGAATGTGCTTTTAAAGTTCATTATTCTTTGTTCAAAATAGCTAGATGGAGAAGTTTTTAGGTTTGGATCGTGTTTCTGTGTCAGGGAAATATAGGCCGTACCTACGTATTAAGTAGGTACTTGCTTAGAAGTTATTTTATTTGTTTGTTTCTGGTATTTTGACCAATTTAATGATATTGTCGCCGTGCTGGTCAAGTGGTTGCTAACGTGACTGCCCAGCAAGTAGTCTTTTGTTATGGGAAAATCATCGAATGACTTCTTACCGCCCAAGGTAAGGCGAGAGAGACTGTCAGACTGTTACTGACTAAAACCCCCCCGTTCCTTCACCAGCTCTGAGCCGAGGTCGCGGTGACTCATTGCGCTTACCCCGCAACCCCGGCTGAACATCAGCCCTATGGGGCCCCGTCTGTGGTGGTCTATTGGCTCTTTGAGGCGCGCGCGGAACCATTAAGGCTAACTTCACGTTTTCCCAACATTTCCCTTCACTGCTCTGTTCCTATTATTTGTAACGTGATGAAAAGTATCCTATAACCTGCCCAGGAGTATAAAGAATAATTGTACCAAGTTTTGTCAAAATCCGTCGAGTAGTTTTTATTTCTATAGGGAACATACAGACAGATAGACAGGCAGACAGACAAAAATTTTACTGATTGCATTTTAGCATCAGTATCGATCACTTATCACCCCCTGGTAGTTATTTTGAAAATGTATTTAATGTACAGAATTGACCTTTGTACAGATTTATTATAAGTATAGATTACCAGTGCCTGTCACCCCTCGATTGTATGCACTGCTCAGTGAATGAATGGTTCGCGTACGGAACCGCGGCGTCACCATTATACTTGTATATCAGCAGGTCGGCGCGAACCGTTTAACCTCGGACCCAGTGACGCGTACACCGGGGATCATCTCCGTTCCGTGGCGGGCTGGACTATGCTGATGGGAGGTAGCGGGAGCGGGAGCGGTAGCGAGTTTTTGCAGTCTAGCACACTATTTTTCAAGGGTTGTGTGTTATTTGTAATTTGTATGTAGTTATTGATGTTATGTCGGAGGTAAAGGAGCCCGCTTTTCATGCATGATGAGGTTCGAAACCTGGCAAGTACCAATGTGACTTTTTCCGAGTTATATGTACTTTCTATGATTATTTAGACACCACTGACATACGGTGAAGGTAAACATCGTGAGGAAACCTGGACTTTTAATTTCTAATTATAAGTTTTAAATCGCCAACCCGCATTGACCAAGCGTGGTGGTTAATGCTCAAACCTTCTCCGTATGAGAGACCTTTGCTCAGTAGTGGGCACTTATAGGCTTATGGTATGAAGTTTCTTACTCATTCATCTCCATTCGAATCTACAATTTGGAACGAGCACCTAGCTTCACTGACGAACAGACTGACAGACTACTATTCTATTTTGACGTTTCAAAAGTACCTATTTATGGTTTAGTTGGAATCAATGATTTTGACTTTGACTGTGAAAGGTCGGTAGACGTGCAGACAGATTACCTGATGGTAAGTAATTACCGCCTCCCATGGACACTCGCAATACCATAGGAGTTATGAATGCGTTGCCGGCCTCTTGGAGATAAGGGTTTCGGAGATTAAAAATTATTAATTCGGTAAAGAATTGAGCCTTCATTATGTAACCTCACTCACACGACGAAACACAACGCTGTGGTTGTTTCACGCCGGTTTCCTGTGAGGCCGTTGTGTCACTCTGGTTAAGTCGACACTTTATATATTTACGCAGGTATTAACGCGGAAAATTATTATTTGAATACCTTGGAAAGCTTTTTTTTTGTGAGGGGAAAATCATCAAATGACTTCTCCCGCCCAGGGCCGGGCAGGAGGGAGTGTCAGACTCTTACTGACTAAAAACCCCCTGTTCCTTCTCCTGCTCTGTGCGGATTATTCAGATAGCCATGACCCTCTCGGACGCGACCAGCGTACGAGCCATCCGCCGCTTCAAGTCCGGCGCCCACACAGGGGCACCGTAGAGGGCCATAGATTGCACAATCCCCATATACAACCTCCGGCAGGAGGCGTTTGGCCCCCCGAGGTTGGGCTAGCCGCTTGAGCGCGGCCCCAGACCGTTCCAACTTAGGAGCCAAACCACGACCTTGGAAAGCTTGACGTTTCGACCCGGTTGCACAGGTCGTGGTCACAAGAAGACGTCTGTCTGCTTCTGCGTCAAGCCTACCAATGTATTCAAATAATAATTTTCCGCGTTAATACCCGCGTAAATATATGTTGTTAACATGAAACGCGAAAGTTTAAAAGTTACTATTGATTTCATTATTTCAAATATTTAACCTCTTCAGGATTTAAGAGTAATTTAAAGAATCCAAACTTGTTTTAAAGGTCACAGTGATACTACATCATCGTCAGCCTATAAGTGTCAACTAATGAGAGAGAGCAAAGACCTTTTTTCGCACCAAGAAGTTTTGTGCATTAACCACCACCCTTGCAACACCCCCGTCCTGGAGTTTTCGGCCATCTTGAGTTTACCTGTTACTTAGCTTTATTTATTGTTTTGGCGGGGAAATCATCAAATGACTTCTCCCGCCCTGGGTGAGGCGAGAGAGAGTGTCAGACTCTTACTGACTAAAAATGACCTCGTTCGTTCTCCTGCTCCGCGGTCTGTGAACGTACCTCCTTACATGTATTATAGACGCGACAGTGTGTAAGTACGGATGGATGTTTGTTACTCTCTCACGTAAACACTACTGAACGGATCTGAATGTTATTTGGCGCACAGATAGATTATAGTGTGGAATATCAGATTATGGCAAGGAAGACGGACCGTGCGGAACAATAATGTGATTTTTGCGTTTTTTTAATATTTTTGATAACACAGGACGGTATTATTATCTTATATATAAAAATGGATCGCAAAATGTGTTGGTAAGCGCATAACTCAACAACGCCTGGACCGATTTCGCTAATTCTTTTTTTGTAGTGTTTGTTATTGTCAGGAGAAGGTTCTTTACAAAGAAAATATTAGAAAAGTAGAGGGGAAGATTGGGGAAAAGCGACCATTTGATAGCGAGATAGTTGGACCCGTGCGAAGCGGGGGTGGGCCGCTAGTCAGAAATATACATATTATCTATGACGTACTAACGATGTGACGTTTCTTGACGTACAGACTCGAGTTTGTATTCGCTTTTGAATTTGTATTTGCTTTGGTGGCTTAAATTTTGTGGTCAGCACGGTCTATTGGGTTTTTGGTTTATAATCTAAAATATAGACTTACTTTCTACCCTGATACTGCGAGCGAAGTCGCTGGCAGAAGCTTGTTTAACTGCCTACTAAGTATTATCTAATGTTATAA